TAAGTGGCTGGCGCCTTAGCCAGTTGAGCTATAGGCACCGAGCCAACACCACATTTAATATCTGTTTCGTAAGTCTCTACTGTGTATTTTCTATCAGTATTTCAGAAATATAAAATATGTAGCTGTTAAACAGATTGAGATACTCTATTTTGCAGGTTTAAGAACAGCAGACATGTAGCATTCTTCACTTGGCAAACTCATCTCAGGACTAACATAAAACAAGTGCTTACTGTATAAGATCAAGGTTTAAAGGAACAAAATATAATGAACAACTTAAATGTATTTCAGAGGAATATTATTTAGGGTAAAAGTTTTGTCTCTAAGCTTCAAAATGGGAAATTTATACTTAGATATTCCTTTACTAGATACAAATAATATATAACATTTAAAAATAATAATAATTCAGGTGGCGCCCTTAGCTCAGTGAGTGGGGCACCGGCCACATACATGGAGGCTGGCGAGTTCGAATCCGGCCCAGGCTAGCTAAAATCAACAATGACAACTGCAACAAAAAAATAGCCAGGCGTTGTGGCGGGCACCTGTAGTCCCAGCTACTTGGTAGGACGAAGCAAGAGAATTTCTTAAGCCCAAGAGTTGGAGGTTGCTGTGAGCTGTGATACAACAGCACTCTATCAAGGGCGACATAGTGAGACTCCATCTCAAAAAAAAAAAAAACATTCAAAAATGGCGAAATACTCCCTTGGGTAACAAAGACCTCTGTGGTAGACTATAAATACTTTTTTTTTTAAGACAAAGTCTCACTTTGTTGCCTTTGGTAGAATGCCATGGCCTCATAGCTCACAGCGACCTCAAACTCTTGGACTCAAGTGAACCTCTTGCCTCAGCATCCCAGGTAGCTGGGACTATAGGCACCACTACAATGCCTGGCTATTTTTAGAGATGGGGGGTCTCTTGTTAAGGTTGGTCTCTAACCTGTAAGCTCAGGCAATGCACTTGCCTCAGCCTCCCAGAATGGGAGGATTACAGGCGTGAGCCATATTACCTGGCCTTATAAATGCTTTTTTTTTTTTTAAGAGGCAGAGTCTCACTTTGTTGCCCTTGGTACAGTGCAGTGGTGCCACAGCTCACAGCAACCTTCAGCTCTTGGGCTTAGGTGATTCTCTTGCCTCAGCTTCCGGAGTAGCTGGGACTACAGGTGCCCACCACAATGCCCAGCTACTTTGGCTGAGTTTGAACCTGCCACCCTCTGTATGTGGGGCCAGCGCCCTACTCACTGAGCCGCAGGTGCCGCCCTGTAAGTGCTTTTTTAAAGGAACATTTAATCAAATTTGTTTCACTTTTTGAAACCTCAAGAATCAGTAATAAATTCATGCAGTACTTTAGAACTTTTGCTGAATTAGTCTATTACTTGTCAATAAAAATTCCAGTAATTAACCACCTTATGCTGCTTTATATAAAAATGACCTATGTTTTATTCTTTTCTCTAAATATCCCTCAAGAGACTAAAATAATTTCTAATGACATAATCTTAGGATCTCTGAGGTTAATGAAATCTTCTTTGAAAAGGTGGAGATGAGATATTTTATAACTTGGAAAATTTATAATTGATCTTACAGCAGATATGACTGCTTGTGAGGATACTTGTGTAGACTATATAGGTAAATACTATGTATTTAATTTCTCTATATAACACTATGAAAAAATCTGTCTTAATCCAAAAGAAGTGAATACTCTGAAGTTTTTACTACAGATTTATGTGATTACTTTTTCAGAATAGTTGTTTTCTTGATTATTTGTTTAGTGTTTGTTGAACCTCTGGAGGGAGAGACAGTTATTCCACAGCCTGGCAAAATTTAGTAGTTCCAGATGGTTTACAGTAGTAATGAGAGTGGGCACTTTCTTTTCTTTTCTAATCATTTTCTTTTCCAAGCCATTTTTAGTTATAGACACTAATAATTAAGTGATGTAGAATTTTGTAAATCATCAAGAATTGAAATAGGTTAGAAAATCATACATTTTGTCTCATTTACATATATAAGTAGCAAAATATGTGGATGCAAGTTGTAGCCATTTTTACATATTTTTCTTATTAAAAAGTAAGGTAAGAAGTGAAGAAAATTCATATGAGCAAAAAGAAGAAAATAAATACCATTCAACATTAACCATACTTTCCAGGTTTTTTTCCTAACTTGAAGGATGCCACTTCTCTATGAGCTTTTAATATTCTGGCCATCCCTTTAATATTGGTGTTCTGTCCTTC